AAACTCACAAAAGAACCTAAGGTGATGTTACTCTCCTCTGAGCAAAGGAGATTGAGGGAAGTTTCGATCAACGTGGACAAGATGGTGACAGGTTTTCACACCGTCGCCAAAGACAGTACGGAGACTAGGGATTGAAGGTTTTGGGCAGGAGATACAGAAACGAATCTCACTCAGCAAGTGGTAATAACCAAGGACTCACTGCTAACAAAAGAAGGGGGCATGGGAGCAATAAATGACTCGAGAGGAGATTGGGAGAACAACTGAAGGAAATAAAATCAAAGGATTCCAGGGATAGAGCGGGGAAATGCTTGCTGACTGAAATGCTGTACAGAGAGTCAGCACAGACCCGATGGACAGAATGGACTCTATATTGATCCAGCACTTGATCTGTCTCCCCAGTCAGTCTCCATTTGGTAATGAGAGCAGCCAGTCCTCACCCAGATGGCCAGCTGGCAGCAGTGCGTCAACTCCAGCTGATAATGGAGGGATGGAGACAGAGAATAGGAAGAGAAAAAATTAATGTCATCAAACATCCCTGATGCTGCCTTTCATTCTCATGTCAGAAAACGACAGCAACTGATATTTATACACAATACCATATAATATTATAAAATAATGACACTGGGTCACAGAAGATGATAATCTGGGCAACTTTTCAAATGTTTTTAATCATTCATGGGATGTGGGCAATTCTGGCTGGGCCAGCATTTATTACCCATCCCTAATTACCCCTTGAAAAGGTGATGATGAGCTGCCTTCAGGAATTGCTGCAGTCCATGTGCTATAGGTAGATCCACAATGCCCTTAGGGAGGGAATTCCAGTATTTTTACCCAGTGATTTTGAAGGAAAGGGCAATTAGGGATAGGCAAGAAATGCTGGCAAACCAGTGACGCCCACATCCCACAAATGAATAGAAAAAAAAATTTCGAAGTCAGGATATTGAGTGGCTTAAAGAGGAACTTGCAGGGGGTGGAGTTCCCATGTATCTGCTACTCTTGTCCGTCCAGAGATCACAGGAGTGGAAGGTGCTGTTGCAGGGGTCAGGGTGGGTTGTTGTGGTACATTGTGTATATGGCACTTGGTGAAAAGGACAGCTTTTAAAGATTGTCTTAAAGAAGGAAGTGAAGAGGAGACAAATTGCAGAATTCAAGGTCTTAGCTGAAGGCACGGCCCTCAATGATGGAGCGAAGGAAATCAAGAAAACTCGGGACATCCAAGTTAGAGGATCTGGAGAGGGCTGTACAGACATGTGGCTAGAAGCAGGGCCTGACACAGGGATGAATACTAGGGTCCTTGGTGTTTTTGTTGCAGGGAGAGGATTCCCACTGTGCCCTGGATTGGGGTTAGGTTCACTGTCCTTGAGTCAGGATGGGTTTGGGTGCCTGGGCTAGGAGTAGCAGTAGGCCCCAGGGTTTCTGTCTCTGCCTCAGGGCTATGGGGATAGGGTTATAGGAGTGGGCTCATGAACCCACAAATGGATTTGAAAACAAAGATAAGAATTTTAAAATCGAGGTGTTGCTTACTGGGGGATTGGTGTTGGTCATTGAGCCCAGACAGGATGGTAAATAGGACTTTGTGCAAGTTTGGGCATCAACTGTGGGATGTTGGATGGATTCATTTAATGGGGAGGCAAAAGATGGGAGACCAGCAAGGGGTGTGTTGGAACAATCAAGTCTAGAGGGGAGGAAAGTATGAATCAGAGACACGGACCACATTCCCCAGTTTCTGTCACACACCTGTTCAAGCTCTCCCGAGAGAGAGAGAAAACCTCTCAATTCCAGTATCACCTGAGAGAATAATTTCCATCCCTTCTCCAGTTCTTCCCATCCCCTCCGGATTTCTGCAACAATCCAGTCAGAGACCCATGGGATGCTCCTGAAGAACATTTCTTTGAGGATAGAATTAATGTTTTCCCCTTCCTTCTATGCTCAGTGGGCTATTCTCCAGTTCTGAGCCAGAAGGTTGTGGTTCAAAAGCCTGTTAGAGACTTGAGCTCGTGGTCTAGGCCACCCCAACCAGTGCACTACTGGGGGAGTGCATGGAAACAGACTCTTTGGTCCAATTCGTACATGCCATCCAGGTTTCCCAAACTAAACTGGTCCCATTTGCCTGCACGTGGCCCATATCCCTCCAAACCTTTCTTATTCATGTATTTATCCAAATGTCTTCTACATGTTGTAACTGTTCCCACATCCACCACATCCTTTGGCAGATCATTCCACACACGAACCACCTCTGTGTGAAAAAGTTTTCCCTCCCCATTTCTTTTTTAAATCTTTCCCTTTTCATCTTAAAATTATGCCCCTAGTTTTGAACACACCCACCTTAGGGACAAGACCTTTGCTATCCACCTTATCTATGTCCCTCATGATTTACAAACCTCTTTAAGGTAATCATTCAACCTCTGAGTCCCAGCCTATCTAGCCTCTCCCTATTACTCAGACCCTCAAGTCCCAGCAACATCTTGTCCTGTTGCATAACGGTCTGGTACAGCAACTGCTCTGCCTAGGACCATAAGAAGGTGGTGTATACAGCCTAGACCATCACAGAAGCCAACCGTCCATCAATAGACTCCATTTACACGGTGTGGAAAGGCTGCCAACATCATCAAAGACCCATTGCACCCCGGTAATGGATGGTAGAGCAAGCTCAAGGAGCCAAATGGCCCACTCCTGTTCCTCATAAATCTATCTGGTTCACCCACAGCGATGTTGGTGATTCTTAACTGCCTTCTGAAATTATTGAACGACACCCTGGGGTCACACGTAAGAACAGGAGATTGCTGTGTCTAAAGAACATTGGTGAGAGAGATGGCCTCTTACTCCTTGTGCTGAATGGAATACTGCAGAATATTACAGTGCAAGAGGCCATTCGGCCCATCTGCAGTGGCTCTCCAAAGGAGCTATTCTCCCTCTTCTGTCTTTTCAGAAAACACTTCAATTTCCTTTGGAATGCTTTGGCTGAACCCACCCCATTCCGCTCTTGGGAGTACAATCCAGACCTCAGTGACTTTGGTTCTTTAAGTTCTGAAGAAGAATCAGGCCAGACTCAAAACGTTAACTCTGCTCTCCACAGATGCTGCCAGACCTGCTGAGTTTTTCCAATATTTTCTGTATTTGTTTTTGGTAACCTTAACCAGCCGTTAGACCTGAGCTGGAGTATTGAGTCCACTTCTGGACACCTCATGACAAGAAAGATGTGAATACATTGGAGAGCATGCAGAAGCAATTTGCAAGAATAGTTCCAGGAATGAGAAACTGCAATTTTGAGGATAGATTGAAGAAGTTGGGACTGTTCTCCTTAAAGAAAAGAAGGCTGAGAGGAGCTGACAGGTTTTCAAAATTATGATCAGGCTGGATTGCATAAATAGAGATAAACTGTTCCCTCTCATAAAAGGAACAAGAACGAAATTTAAAGTGATGTGCAACCTAAAGGACCATGATATGCAAAAATACTTTTTATCAAAACGAGTAGTTGCAGTATGAAATTCAGTGACTGGAATGGTGTTGGAGGCAGGTTCAATTGAGGTACTCAAGACGTCATTGGATGATTATTTGGACAGGCATGGTGCACAGGGACGTGTGGACAAGGCAGGAGATTGACAATCATACTGATGCAGGCACAATGGGCCGAATGGCCTCCTTCTGCAGCACAATGATTCTGTCATTCTATGACTTGCTGTGGAAAGGCATTTCTCATATCTGCAATGCTTCTCTTGCATTACATCCATGCCCTCCACTTCTTTCACAGTCCTTCAAATTAATCATTTCTTTCAATCTATTATGTTCCCAATCCTCATTATTTTTAATCCCTCTATTTCATCTCAACCTTCTCTTCTCCAAGGACAGCAGTCCTAACTTCTCCAACTTTTCTGGATAACTGAAGCTGGATAACTGAAACTAACCTCATGATTCTTTTTCTGCACTCCCTTCAATCTTTCCAAAAATGGTTCCATTCTGCCCCAAACCAGTGGCAATACTCCAGCTGAGACCAATCTATAGTGACTTATGGATTTCTAATCGGTAAAAGAATTGATTGTTGTGGGGAAAAGGCAGCAAAGTGGACTTCAGCATTTTTTTTTAATTTTTGAAACAATTCGTGGGATGTTAGCATCACTGGCTGGCCCAGCATTTACTGCCTGCCCTTAGTTGCCCTTGAGAAGGTGGTGGTGAGCTGCCTTCTTGACCTGCTGCAGTCCATGTAGTGTAGGTTGACCCACAATGCCTTTAGGAAGGGAATGCCAGGATTTTTACCTTAGGTACACTGAAGAAATGGTGTTACATTTCCAAGTCAGGATGGTGAGTGGCGTGGAGAGGAACTTGCAGAGAGTGGTGTTTCCATGTATCTGCTGCCTTTGTCCTTACAGATGGAAGTGGTCATGGGTTTGGAAGGTGCGGTCAGATTTCTTGGTGAATTTCTGCAGTCTATCTTTTAGACGATACACACTTCTGCTTAACAGCTCAGCATGACTGAACAGACTCAACTGGCGAAATGGCCAACTTCTGATTCTATGCCTTATGGCCGGTGTATGTCCACCATCATGAACCTTTTATTTCTGCGTACTCAGAGTACTCTATGCCCCCGTTGATAAAGGTTTTGTTTATTTGCTCCCTTAATTTGTCTAGCCACCATCAATGACCAACTTATGTAAACATCCAGGTTTTCTCTGCTCCTTTACCTATGAATGACCCTTTACATAACAAGAGAATTAAGATATTCATAAGTAGAAAATGCTGGAAACATTTAAATGTAAAAGTTAACATTTTAGTTTGGTGACTGTTCATTCTACTTGAAATGTTAGTTCACTTTTACTGCTGACTTTTTTCTCCAGAATTTTCTGTGACTATTTCAGATTTAGGTTAATTTGCTCTTCTCTTCCCAACCCCCGCCCAAAACTTCATTGTCCATTTTAACACCGCGGTTGTCTTCGGTCGGCCAGCTTCAGGGTGTTAGGAGACCGAGTGCTGGTTTTAACCCCGGGCATGGTGTCCATCGGCCAGCAGGTACCGGGGCCTCCAGGCCAACGCGTCCGGTTTCCGGCGGGTCCGCCGCGACTCATATCCGGTGTCCTATGACCCTTGGCCCGCCCCTGATCCTCCCCCTCCCGCCGGCTCTAAGATGGCGCTGATGTTTGCGGCGCTCCTGGCGGTGGCGGCGGCGGTGACGCTGCTCCTGGTGCTGTTCGGCCGGTGAGTGTCCCGCTTTCCTTAATCCCCGGGGGATGAGGCCTCGAAACAAACCCCGAACGCACCGGGAAATTAGCATAAATTATTCCCAATGTGGGCGGAGCCTCTCCTGCTTCTCTCCCATTGGTGGGCAGCATCCTTGGTTTTGGGATGTGACAGTTACTATGTAAATGCAGAACTTGGCATGTAAGGGTACGGTAGTGGGTATCTACCCTGACACTGTGCCTCCCTCCTCCTGAGCATCAGGTTCCAGTTACATGCCATCTGCAGAGTCCATCACTTCCTCACTTCCCTCACCCCTGAAATTCCCCTTGTCCCTGTTCTTCAGATTACCTTCGCCAATCTATTCATTTGACCCTTCAACACCCCTCACTCCTGCCTCTATTGTCCACCTTTGCTCCTACTTCCTCATAATTGTAAAATTCTCGTTCTTTTCCAATCCCTCCGTGGACTCACCTTTCTCTATCTCTACTTATTTTCAGTCCTACAACATTCCTAACCTTTCTGTGCATCGCCAACTCTGGCCTTGTGTGTCCTCTGATTTTAATTGCTCCCTTTGCTTGCTTTAGCCTGGGCCCCATGTTCTGGAATTCTATCCTTAAACTGATACTTCTCTGATTTCCTTTAAGATGCTCTTTAAAGCCTTTGTCTTCAATTGATTGTGTTGACTAAACTCTGTGTAGCATGCGGAATATTTTTATATATTTAAGGCAGCAAATAACTGCACTTTGTGAGAGAGCTTGCCTTTTGTGCAAGGAGGAGGGTGAGTTTGTCAGATGGGGTGTTTGTAGTTTGCTGACAATTAGCCAATGGACAGACCCCGTTGTTGACTGGGTTCACTGCTTTCTGGAAAGGTGATTAACAACTGCCTTCTAACTGACGCAATCGCAGCTTCGTAATCCCCTCGAGCTCTGACCCATTCCTCAACAAAATAATTTACAGCAAACACTTCATATCCAAATTCAGCATAAATCTCTCATTGGAGTAACCTTGCTAAGGTTTTGGAGTAGATCTGTAGCTCGGGTTGTGGGTGTTGAGGTTGGTTGGCTCGCCAAGCTGGTTTGTTGTTCCGCAGACGTTTCGTTACCGTGCTTGGTAACGTCCTCAGTGCAGCCTCTGATGAAGCGTCGATGTGTTTACCCACCTGGTTTTTAAACTCTGGGGTCTGTTGCAATGGATTGCCTCACTTCCGGGTTTCCTCTGTAGTGGAATGTATATGGGGTCAAGTTCAATGTGTTTATTAATCAGAGAGGAGGAGAAGAACAAACAACTCCCATTCCTGGACGTCATGGTAGAGTGCAAGACAAATGGGGAACTGCAAACGAAAGTACACCGAAAAGCCACGCACACAGACCAGGTATTGAACTTTAATAGCAACCATCCCAGCACACACAAACAAAGCTGCGTGCGAACACTATTTAAAAGGGCAATAACACACTGCAGCAACATGGAACTATGCCAAGAGGAGGAGGAATACCTCTTCCAAGTGTTCAAGGATAATGGATATCCAAAGAACTGGGTCAGGAGATGCCTACAGGAACAGCATCAGAAAGATTCTACACACCCCGACACACTCATCACACTACCCTACATGAGGAACACATCAGAACTCACCACAAGACTTCTACGACCGCTGGGCATCAGAGTGGCACACAAGCCCACATCACCCTACGACAAGTGCTCACCGGAACTAAAGACCCACTCCCCGCCATGGACAGAACCAATGTCATCTACAAGATCCCCTGCAGAGACTGGGAGAAACACTACATCGGACAAACAGGAAGGAAACTAACAACCAACTGGCTACAAAAAGACATGACTAATACTCACTCATCTCAATCCACATGGACAAGGAGAACCACGACTTCGACTGGGTCAACACCAAGATCCTGGGACAGGCTAGGCAGAGACAAGCATGAGAATTCCTGGAAGCATGGCACTCCACGAAGCATGCTATTAATAAACACATTGAACTCAACCCCATATACATTCCACTACGGAGGAAACCCGGAAGTGAGGCAATCCATCGCAACGGACCCCAGAGTTTAAAAACCAGGCGGGAAAACACAACGACGCTTCATCAGAGGCTGCACTGAGGATGTTACCAAGTACGGTAACGAAACGTCTGCAGAACAACAAACCAGCTCGGCGAGCCAACCAACCTCAAGTAACCTTGCTTTGTTGTCACACTTTATAGGGATGGTCTTTCCCCGGTCTCCAGATCAAGAGGTCAAAGCCCCACAATATGCAGTAGGCCAGTTTTGACTGAGATGAGAAATTTTATTCATTCACGAGGTGGTGAACCTGTGGAATTCTCTGCCACTGAAGGCTGGGGAGGCCAAGTCACTGAATGTATTTGAGAAAGAAACAGATTTCTAGAAATGAAGGTGTAACGGAGTATGGAGAGAGAGCAAGAAAATAGCGCTGAAATAGTGGATCAGCCATGTTTATGTTGAACAGTGGAATGGGCTCGAAGGGCTGAGTAGTCTACTTTTGCTTCTATTTTCTACTGTGCTGTGTCACCCTCTGCAGTTATACTTTGTGATGAGTTCGATTGAGGGCTCAGCACTCAGCTGTCCCCTTTGACACCATTTGGAGTGATCCTGGATCAGCAAGAGCAAGAAATCAGCTGCGATCTAAACCACTGACCTCTCCAGACTGACTCTCTTACCCCGTGAAGTATCGGTATCTTTAGTGCTAGCACACACTTTGACCCTGGGAGGACCACAACCCACTGACCCTTCAACCACTTGTTGCACCAGTAGGAGTGATTGACCACCCAAAAACCTGGGACAGAACTGGCAGAGAAAGAAAGAAAGAATGAGTTTCCATAGTGCCTATTCCAAGTTCCAAAAGGTTTTACAGCTGATGGAGTGTAGTCACTTTAGTAATAGAGGAAACATGATGGTCAAGGTGTGAACAGCAAGACCCCATGGTATCACTGTGAATGAACTGGTAATCAATTAAATCAAGACTCAGGTTTGTTGTAACGTATCTATATCCTGGCTGCAGCCCTGGATCTCAGTGAGAATTCCCCGAGCCTTTTTCTATTCTGCCACGAATGTGAGTACAATTGCCTCTAAGAGGCTTTCAGAGGGTGGTCAAGTATCAACTATTTCACAGTGGCTCTGGAGTCACCTGTGGGCCAGACTAGGTAAAGATGGAAGAATTTCCTCACTAAAGGAAGAGTGAACCCAATGGCTTTTAGTCACTACTGAGACTAGTTTCATATTCTTGGTTTTATCAGAGTTGCTTGCCAGCCAATCAACATGCTGTGCCCATACAGTATAAAAATGTTCTGAAGAAGTCATACTGAATTGGAAATGGTAACTCGTTCTTTTTCCACAGGTGCTGCTGAACCTGCTGAGTTTCTTCAGCATTCTTTGTTTCAGACTTGCAGCATCTGCAGTATTTTGCTTTTATTCAAGTGTAAAAATGTCATTTGTCTTTATATTGGTATTGGTACAAATTGTCCAAAAGAGTGCAAAATGATAAGCTTTGAGAAAATCTGTCTTTTAGCAATACTCAAGATTTTCTGTAACGAATCAGCCACTAGGGCAGGATTTGAATCTGGGTCCCTAGCACATTAGTCTAGGCCTCTGGAGTATCCTCTTCTTCCAAGTAAGCAGTAAAATCCGTAACATCCACCTGATAGGTCAAATGGAGCTTCCATTTAACATCACACCAAAGATAGCAGCTCTGAAATTGCATCAGTCTCTTGACACTCCCTTCTGTTAGCTTTGATTATGGTGCTCAGCTCTGGCTGAAGACTAAAGCTCATGATCTTGTACTCGAAAGCAAGCGACATTGTGTTCTACACTGAACTGATGGCATACAGCTCACCCTGGATGTTGTAGTAACAATTGCTGCATTGGGTATTCGCTCTGATTCAATTAATCTTTTCTCTTGAAAAACTCACTGCCACTAACAGATCCATCCATGCTAAACCTGTACCCCAGTTTTATACAGTTAGAAACCCATTGCCACTAGTACTATAACTTAGTGTTATACAGTGACAGACCTGTCACCACCAGTACTGTACCCCAGCATTATACATCAACAGGTCTGTCCTCACCAGGACTGTACCCCAGTGTTAAGCAGTGACAGACCTGTCCCCAC